TGCGGTACACGGGCCTCTCAGTGTTGTGGCCTCTCCCATTGTGGAGCACAGGCTCTGGACACGCAGGCTCAGCGGCCATGGCTCACGGGCCCAGCCGCTTCGCGGCACGTGGGATCTTCCCAGACCGGGGCCCGAACCTGCGTCCCCTGCATCGGCAGGAGGACTCTCAACCACTGCACCACGAGGGAAGCCCCAGCATTAGTTTTAATATACATAATTAGCTCTAATTTCTAATTAGGTCTCTAATTTCTGTCCTTCAAAAAAATAAAAAGATTCACACTTTATCTGTTGAATGTTCTCATTTCAATATAATCTTGTCTCGAGTTTTAGGTTTACCATTTTTTTAGACTCCCGGAGTTATAATTTATTTTTACAATTAATAGTTAATGTAATTAACTGGTATTTAAAAAATTAATTTTAGGCTCTGTTGTAGGACACTCTTTAAGAAAAATTAAAAATGAGTACCTGCTCCCAGCTGTCACTTCCCCGAGAGGTTCCCCAGCTCCTGGCAGCATGCGTTTCCTCCTGGGCCAACCCTAACGGCAGCTTCCTGGCGCAGAGCTCATTCCCACTTGTATCATAGTCATTGTTCCTTCTCTAATTAATGCATTACGAGCATTTCCACTCTTTCATTTCTGTGCATTTTAAATTTCTGTACAGGCTATAATTACCAGTTATAGTGGTCTTTTCTTTTCTGCTCCTTGTGCTATTTTTACACAAACGGTCTCCCTACCACCCACCTCCCTTACTTTAGTGCAGGATTTTTCTGAACTCAAATTTTGTCAGGAAAACTTGTATTAAACAAGAAATGTCTGTCTGTCTAGCTATCTATCTAGGCTGGCAGTAAGGTTGCCCAGGTTGTGTATTGCAAATTTCTAGGGCATTCCATTCACCTAACGTATGTTGGGCAAGGTGGCCGCTAGCATTTCATGGTATCTGAATAGTACAGGTAATTACACAGTTAAAAGAGTTAAACAGTCCTCTGAGGCTTTTAACTCCAAACAGTAGTATTGTTCCCCAGCCCAGCTGGTATGGGGCTATGTAGTGATCGGGCCATTATGGGCTCCGGAGAGACTCTTACCCTCAGCCTGTCCCCTGGCTTCAGATCCATACCGTGACTGCAGTTTCCAAAATTGCCTCAGTGTTGGGGAATTAGCCTGCTTTTGGTAGCAAGCACACCACAGCAATTTTAGGTTCAAACTCCTAAGAGTAGAAGCCTTTATAGCACTAGTTTGACCAGCTTTGTGAAAGACTACAGGGCAGGGAAAAAGGCAGGGCAGAGGTGGGAGTGTCTTCTGCTGTAGCTCCTGAGCTCATCATCTCACATGAGTTTAGGGGCTGCTTATTTCTCCCCACTTCTCCCTCTACCTTGGTTTCTCATGGGTGAGGGAAGGAGATCACAGAAGGTGGTATGTGAGCCATCCTTTCAGAAGACTTCAGCTGCAAATAGGGACTGACATCTTTTGCAACAGCTGATAGTCATTAGCTTCCAGGTACCAGCAAGGGGAACACCTGGCTATAAGGTGAATTACTTTGAAGGAAGGTCTAGTATTTATAGTTCATTCACAATTCTTCCAGCCTGTGTGTGGTTTACCAGTCAGGAGTTAGTTTTACCATAAGTAATGCTACCTGGTAAAAAAAGCTGAAGTTTCACTTTCATAAGTTTTCAGGGAAACAGAGCTTAGGGGAAGGTGACCCCAGGGTTTCAGGGTTACATGGTCTTTTCTTCAGCTATTCAGCAGATAGAAAAACCTGAAACTTATTCTTTCTGCTTTTTATCTTCCAAAAAAAATTTTTTTTTTTTTGCTTTTCTTTGTTCTTTTGGTTTATGAATTGGACATTTTTAAGGAAAAAAGTCTTTATTGTTACCTTAGATTTCAAGAGGTAGCAGCTATATGTATATGTTTTCAACTGACTATATTTAATGAAAAGTTCCAAGGAAGTTACTGAATATCCACTAAATTAAAATACATTGCACATTATCTCAATTATCTTTAAAAATGGATGTTATATAAGCAGTTTTCCCTGGAAAAGCAAAATGTAATGGGTGAAAAAAAACCCTCTCATTCCCTTGTTTTACAGAAAGTACATAATAAGATGTTTTGTTGTCTGTTGTCATAAAGAGCACATTTCCATATGAATGAGCAGAGAGGAAGGGATTAGTATAAGATTGGTATAAGGGATTAGTATTAGTATATAAGGTGGAGTATATTATAAAATGCTCCTAGTTAATAAATACACATAATTGAACAAATAACTCTTGTTTTAAAATTTGGATATTGCAAAAGAATACACATATTTCTTATGCTCATTGTATATGTACATTTGCATTTTAAATAGTTTATTTTGAAGTTATTGTTGTGATTTACGTTTTTATATCCCATGGAAGACGGACAGTATTGTATCATCTCAGTAGTAGTAGTTTGTACAAAAGAGCACAGATCACCCTGAGACCTTAAATTTAAATGAAAAAAATGCTTAAAAAATAGTCACTTGAATAATTTCAAGAAAAACACTAACACTGCTAAAGAATTCTATATAAAATTCTTCTGGATTTACTTTAAGAAATAGATTATTATTAAATTCCAGTTATTACTTTGAAAGAGATTCTTCTAAAAAACTTTATGTATTTGGATAAGCAGTCCCTTGAATTTTATTGTTACTGTTAATTTCTTAACCTATTTATTTCTATCTAGCCTAGTTTCAAGTTACAAATTAGGAAGCAAGTTGAAAGAATTGATGAAATCATATATTCTTTATATCAATATACTTGACTCTGACACAAACTGAAATAGAATATTAGCATTTTATACTTTTCAGTTAGTGTTTACTGCATCTGTATTTATAAAGGATGGTTCAGTTTATTAAGTATGGGTTGAAATGATTAGAAGTTAATAAAATGATAAAAATAATTTCAATATTATATGTGTTTTAAGCTTCTTTAATGTCATACTTTTCAAGGGAAACTGAATGGTACTCTGATTGTTACCTTTTATATTATTTTGCAGGTGCAATTTCTTGATTATGAATCAGTACCATTTGGTCAGAAAATGGGAAACCTAATGCAGATTAGAGAATTTGCCAAAGAAGTGAAAAAAACAAATATTTTATTATATGGCCTTCTCGTATATTACCCACAGGTAGGTAAAACGTTGGTCTCTTCAGATTGTATGTGTTTTAGACTACAGTTTTATTGGTGGGAACCTGATTTTGTTAAAAGCAAAGAAATATTAAAAAAAAATTGGGCTGGTAAATTATTTATCTGTTCATGTTCTGCAGCAGGTAGAAACTCTTGACTCTAAGGGAAAATTAAAAATCAAAACAAGTGTTTTGATTAGGGGGAAAAAAAGATGAAAATTGACAAAGATCTCACACTAGGTAGCCCACATAAAATTGCCAGATATGCAAAGAAAAATACAGAATCCCCAGTTAAGTTTGAATTTCAAATAAAAATAATTTTATTTTTAATTCCAATTGTGGAATTTGAAATTTGAATTTCATATTTAACTGGACTCTTGTATTTAACTGGCAACTCTAAGGTCACAGTCTTAGCCGTTTGTATAATTTAAAGTTGTTTATTCCTTTAATGCTGTGCTAAAGATGTTGGTAATCAAGACTTTAATCATTTGAAAGCAGTGGCTGGCATTTGGGTTACATGAGGGCCTGGTATTTAACTAGACAAAAACTCTTACTGTCGCTGTCTTTTAATAGCGAGTTACTTAAGCTGAAGGCAAAATGAATTAGCATTATAGATTCTTTGTGCAGAGAAATGCTATTTAAATCAAACTGTTTGGAGAATCTGTTAGAGAAGATGGATTTGCCCTTTGTGCACAGACACCTTTCAGAAAGCTTCATGGTGTCTTAGAGGTGTACCACATAGGAGTCAAGGAAGTAAAATAGTCAACTGCTTTTGTTCTTAGTGGTCTGGAATAAAAGTGATTTGGTACTGTATGGTTGATGAATAACAGCTATTGTTTATGAAATATTTAAGGTGCCTTTTTAGCCTGAAGGTAACAACATTTCTTTTGAAACAAATGGATTTTAGTTGAATATAAGGGCCATCTTTTAGCCAGTTCCTTGGTTTTCTTTAACTTTGAGGTTGTTTCCTCTGCTTCTGACATAGACAAGCATGACCTCCAGTTGGTCCTAAGGACAAGGCAAAGTTTAGTTCACTTAGCATCATGGAATTGTAAAACGTTAGTGCCATATGGTTCCTGAAGTCAGCACAACCAAGGCCTAAAGAGAGACATATAGTTGCCCAAGGACATAAAACTGGCAGAGTAAGAATAAGAACTCAGGTCTGTATCTTCCTTCAGGAATGTTTCCTCTTCGATATTGTCTTTGGTTGTACCCTAGATTAACGTGGTGGGAAAAAGAAATCAGTTATTTCTCTTGTGCCATGCAAAGGAGTCATGGACTAATGCCATGCTGTACAGGTATAAAATAGAGTTCACTCAGGAAAACCTCAAAAGCTGGGGAATGGTAGAGCACACACAGTTCTGGAACTCTCTTTGTCCTATGATTTAGATTAAGCACAAAGGGTCTGTAGCTGACTTTCTAGTGGAGGGTCTGGTTGCCAGTTGAAATGGAGCATGCAGTTTCAGAGAAAAAGTATGTTTTAGCATAAGTATGTGCCAAATGTTACATGGACCATATTTGCACAAAAAATTCTTCATTGTTATTCTGAATTTCAGGTATAACTGGGCATCTTGTGTTTTATTTGCTAAACCTGGTAACACTTGTAGAGTTCATATTTACATAAAAGTATTCATTTTTTTCACACTTGACATGTTCTACCCTTTTATGGAATGGAGTACAGTGAGTATCTGTGACTCTGTACCTATGAAGGCTCCCTGATTGGAAAAGTAGCCTTGTTGAAAAGCAGGAGCCTTTGCAGCCCACTGCTTTTGGTATCTGACTGCTCTTTTAAGCACACTTGGACCTGCTAAGCCAGCTGTCTACTAAGTTACCAAAAGTGGGAAAAAGGTAGTCCTACAAGCCCTTCAGGATATGTCTCTCATTGCTTTAGGATGCAAAGATAGCTTACTTAGGTGTTGCTTGTCTCTTCTTAACATTTCAGTAATGACGTTTCAAGTATGTGAAAATGTTGAAAATGAAAGGTTTACTTTTGTCCTTAAAGACACAGATGTGAATTGACTTTTACTAGCCCAGCACACTGTCCAACACATAATTCCACCTTAAAGAGCATTTACTAAGAGATCCTGGGATGTTTGTTAGGTATGCCATTAAAAAAGAGCTGTGGTTAAAAAACTGGAGAGGCAGCAGTGAATAGAGTTAAACAGACTTCTTTAATGAGGGCTTCTCACAAATCCTTAATATACTGATGAGCATTTCATATCTCCAACCTGGGGACAAGGGCAATGCCATTTTCCATTTTCTCCTATAATCCTTTAACCATAGATAAATCATGGGACTAATGTTCCCCAAAAGAAACTTTGAGAAACACTCCTCACAAGTATACTGTTAAGTAAAGCAAGCACTACCTCTGTACAGTCTCTTTCTACTTCAGTCCTAATTTTTCCATTTAGTTAAAGCAGTGCTTCTAACATTGAGTGCCTACTTGACACTGCAAACACCAAGGATATGAAGATGTATAAGGTGGAGCTTTCATTCACCGTTTGGTGAAGAGTGTTGGTCTGTGCTTTCCACTGTGCTGTGAGATACAACTTTTTGTAGTGTTCATACACTGGACTTTGTTCCCTAAATCTAATTCATCTCTGTAAGAGCCATTAGGTGTTTTGTAGGTAGTTATTGTGTATGCTTCTAAGTCTCTGATCAGTGAAACCTTTCTAGGTTTTTCTTAAAACCATTTTTTATAAGACACTAGCATCAGGTGCCTCTTCTTTGGATAGGTCTTCAGTTTATCGATAGGCCCTCCTTGGAAGAGAGAATGTATCGAATTGACTTTGTATCTGTGTTACGCATATGTTCTTTCTGGCTTAAAGAAAACCTCCCTTGTTATGTATGTGATATTTCTGTTAATGTAGATGGTTTTGATATTTGGCCGCACCTTCACAGTGTTGATGTATATGATGTTTATAGTTAAATAGAATTACGTAGGCTTTTTTCTTTTTAACACATGATGCTATTAAACCTCTGTTTGTGTTTGTATAGAGTTCTTTTACACACATTTATAGGAGTTTTTGTGTTTGGCAATTTTAAGCTGATTAGTTTTATTCTATTTTTTTCAGTCTTTCATTGTCTTTTTTGATCTAGGTTATAGCATATGAGTAATTAGCTATAGTTTCTTGCATCATATAATTTACAAATTAGATGTCATCTATATTTTGTATATACCTTTAAGGAAAAAATTGATTTGGATAAAGCTAAGGATTGATTCCTTCTTTAGTATCTATAAATGTTCTACAATGTTGCCTATGATCAATTACTGATAATTTAATAATTCAGTCACTGACAAATGCATCAAATTTTATAATAGCTCAACTCAATTTCTCCATATTTTCTTTACTGATATAAGAAACTTTAACAAATACTTAACTCTAGATAAGCTTTATGTGTGTGTTTTTTCTGCCTTTGAGAGAGATTATTTGCTAAATTATTAAATATGCTAGTTTCTTATCTATATCACTGTAGTAAGGCACTATTAACTTTTTTTCCCAAAATTGACTTTAAAATATTCTGGTGGCCTCAAAAAATTAATAATTTAAAATGAGCTCTTCGTGGGTAGCTTAAACTTAGAGTTATAGATCAAGTGACAGGCTTCACTGTGTATATATATGTATCTATACATTTATATAAATACACGTATATAAATATAAGTAAAAAATATTTGACCATAGTATAAAGTTTTCTAATGTTATTATCCAGTTTTCTGTTCCTCAAGGTGTAGACAAATCAGGAAAGATTTGAAATTTATGCTGTAGACTAGAAGTGTAGCATAAAGCTTGCCTTTACAATTTGTTGAATGAATTTAAATCAGGTCCTATCCCTTTTTTAAAAAATACCATACAAAAATAACTATGAATAATTCAAACCAGTTTTTATAGTTGAGTCTATATAAAGGATCTTAGTCCCTTTTTTT